CAGATTAGCAGCAGTGGGAGATGGTGGTAAGTGGGAACTCTCATGGCTTTTTCGCACTGGCAGTTGTTTGACTGAATTTGGCCAATATTGCGGTCAAATACGTTTTGAAAGGGGCCTAGTTTGAGGATGTCCGTAACGTATAGTGTGACCGAGCAACATCCAACACTGCCCACTCCACCCTGCTGTTCCTGAATACGAGGTAGTGTTTTCTTTCTTTGTCGGTTTTGTTTTTCTTGTGAAATTGAAATTTGCACCAGTGGGGCGTGGTCCTCTTTTTTTTCCCTGCCCTTCCTATGCTTCCCTTGTGTTCAATGAAGCATGAATCGCGTCAGTATAGCGAAGAGATTCATGCTAGCGGAGCACAGAAAAAGCTAAAGTGGCCATTATTTCATCACGGTGGGTACTGCTGCAGTTCACTGTCATGGTTTGGTCGCAACTGCCGGCGATTTTCTACGGATTACGCCAAAGCGACCAGGCTGCAGGCGCAGTGCTGTGTGAATAATTCTTTGCTCATGCTGGCTTTTGGTCGTTGGATGTTGATCTTGGTGGCTGAAAATGAAGGTCCGCACCTTTGGAACCCTCATTCTCCGTCGAACATGACTTTCATTCTCCGTCGAACGTGTGTACTTTCTCCTTAAGTTTTCAGACATGCCCTCATGCCGTCATGTCTGAAAACTTGCCGTCATCATCGGCGTTATGTCTGAAAAGTTGGTGATTGCCGTCATGCGATCAATTTTCATTTGGGGATGAAATTTTGCTCGACACCCTTGGTGATTGTTTTGGATGTTTTCAGACATGGCACCTATGTATGGCGCTCCACCATCCAACGTGTTTGTTTGCTCAAATCGCTGTGTCGGATGCAAATCAGGGCAAGTATCTCAGCGGAGGCACAATTCGGATGTGCCCTAAAGAGGAAAAAGGAAAGAAAAGGCTATGTGTGACGCTGACACCGCAGGTCACCAGAATCGACGGCCAGACCTAATTGTTGGTTTCTTTCTCTGGAAAGGGATTAGATAGCTGAGCCTGAGTGCGTGAGTATCTGTTGTAATTTTTCTGACTTGCCGGGGGAATAGAAACCAGACTGACGCTCCCCAGAATGGAAAAGGAGCAAGGACCCTAAGGTTCTGTATTAAAAAAAAAAAAAAAAAAAAAAAAAGGATAGCGTAGCCTCAGTGTAGGCTGGTGGAAACGTTTTTTTTTTTTTTTTTTTTTTTTTGAAACTTTTCAGTAACCTGTGTGACTGTCGGGACAGGACAGCATTTGTCTCGTTGGAAATAAAATAAAAGCTTTGGGCATTTGGCTCATTGGAAATAAAATAAAAGTCAGTCGGGGACCTGCCTTATTATGCTCATTGGATGTAAGCCTTGGGCATTTGGTTCGTTGCAAATAAAATAAAAGTCGGTCAAAAAGAAAAAAAAAGAAAAAAAGAAAAGAAGGGATGGTTTGCCCGAGAAGTTCTGTCTGGAGGAAACGAAACAAGCGGCACCAGGTCAGCAGCCCACCTGGGCGAGGTCCCACTGGCAAAAAGTATAGGATCGAGCTCCTGAATCTGGATGTGTTTTATGCAGAGATGCAGAAAAAGCAGCTCAATCTTGATTTCCTGCACATCTCCATAACCTTGTCCAGATTCAGGCTTTCGATCCGATCCTCTTTGCTAGTGGGACCTCGCACCTGAAGTGAATGATGTTGCGGGACCCTGCTCGTTGGTTTGAGCTCGGGGACCTGCCTTATGATGTTCATCCGACGTAAAACTCGGGCACTGGGCTTGTTGGAAATAAAAGTCGAGTAAAAAGAAACGAGAAAAGTAGGGATGGTTCACTGACAAAGTTCTAATCTGGAAGAAAAGAAAGAAGGGGTATCGGGTCAGTGGCGCACCTGAAGTGAACGGTGGGGCGGTCCATCCTGACCAAATTGTTTCTCGGTCAGCTTGGCCACTGAATCACCCTTGCTTCCGTGTAGACCCACGCCCGCACCAGCAGCCACACTATCACACCTCCTCACCCTCTGCATGTGCATGCACCCATGGGGGTAGGCGCACCCACTCTGGAATGTGTGTGTGTGTGTGTGTGTGTGTGTGTGTGTGTGCTGTCTCTTATACACATCTGTGTCACGTCGCTTCGTGCGGCCCGCCACCGCCGCCCTTCCCCGAGTTTTCCAGGCGTTGCGCCTTCCCGTCGCGCGGACCGTCGGCCTGCCTTCCAGCATTTCAGACCCTCGCTTCGCTTCATCCCTGTGGCTCCGTCAGCACCAGTCCCTCCCTTGGACCAGCGGCCCTCCCTCGGGCCGCCCCTTCGTCGCTTTTCCTTGGCCCGTTTCCTGCCATTATGGTGGGCTCGCTACAGTTTTTATAGTATTAGAGAAGAGAANGAGAGAGAGAGAGAGAGAGAGAGAGAGAGAGAGAGAGAGAGAGAGAGAGAGAGAGAGAGAGAAGCAATGCCAGTAGTCTGTTCTCGTATACTCTTTACGTGTTATAACAATAACAGCATGTGAGATCTCTATGTCGTTCTCCCTCTGTTTTCTCGATTTTCCCTCTTCGTGCTTTCCTGTCTTCTTTGCTTTTTCCTTTTCTCCTCATACTCTGCAATTCAAAACTCTCTTCGCATCACTGCCATCATCGCCATTGCAGCCTTGCATTTCCTTAATAAGAGTTAATATCATCCCCGCTGCAAAACTACGAATGTCCATCCCACAACTTTGCGAAGATTCGTTCACACTATTGTAATGGCCTGCCAAACACGGACTGAGACACACACAGCTGATTTCTGACTTTTGCTCATGGAATGTATGCCTTGCTGAGTTTCCCGCTTGCTGAGTTTCCCGCTTGCTGAGTTTTCTAAGTCTGTGTGTGTGCGTGCTTTTGCTGGTCTGCATGCCTGTCTGAGTGCTTGTCGGCTTAAGTGTGTGTGTGATCCGCAAGGGTACTTGTTTGTTCAGAAGGCCTGAAGGGCCGGTACTTCCCCATGGCCGTGACATTGAGGGTTGCCGCTGGGAAAACGCTCAAGTGGTGGGGAGAGAGGCCCGCGACACTTGAAGCAGCGGAAAAACACTCAAGTAGCAGGTTGGGCGGTACCACACCAGGTAGAGGTAGATGTGCCGGGTACTCGAGGCCGAGCAGAAGAAGACAAAGTTGGCATTTTTAGAGGCCCAGTAGTTGTAGGCCAGGTCTAGGCGGGTACCAGTCCAACCAGTCTAAGTCTAGGGCCTGTACGGGCAATATCAGAGTCTGCAATGATGTTGCCCTCCGAAAGGGAGGAGGTACCGGTTGCTTGGAGGCCACGCGGCCTAGGAAGTAGGGCAAGCAGGCCGCTACATCTCCAGGAGGAGTAAGGTGCTCCTCGTTGTCGGTGCGCAAGTTTGGCGACACCACTGGTTGGAGCGCTGGCTGGAGCAGCGCTACCATCAAGAGCAGCGCTGCTGGGGAGGAGCAAGGACAGGAGGATGAAGAAGATCAGGACTAGGAGGGAGGAGCGCCAGAGGTACTTACCTGGCTGGCTATGGTGGATACCATCTTCATCACCTTGGTGGGCGCTGCATCTGTAAACCCCCTGTTGGGGTAGAGCTGCACCGAGAAGCTTCGAGGCAGAGTCAGGCATGGCAGCCTGAGCTAGAGCAGCCATAGCTGCTTTGTGTTGTCCTTTGCACAGCACCATGGTGCCCCGTTAGTCCGCCATGACCTCGGCCCTGAGAGGAGGAATAAGGGTGGCCATGGCTATGGTGGACCTCATGGGATGCCTGCAATAGAAGAGGGATTACGACATTGATTCTGGTTCAGCCATTCAACATTACTATTATTATTTCTTGTTTGAATAGGAGAGGAGGAGAATAAGTACGAGGAAGAAGAGCATTATCATTGGTCTATGCTGGTGTACATCATCTTCTTCTTCTTTCTTTCTTCTTCTTCTTCTTCTTCTTCTTCTTCTTCTTTCTTTCTTCTTCTCTCTTTCTTTCTTCTTCTTTCTTTCTTTCTTCTTCTTCTTCTTCTTCTTCTTCTTCTTCTTCTTCTTCTTCTTCTTCTTCTTTCCCTCTCTCTCCTGTCAAATTCATTCATTTCTTTTTTGGACGGCATTGTACTTTCTGATGAATGTGTATTTCAAAATTGGCCAGGATCATAACGCTATCCCTTTGGAACCTCTACGAGTCATCTTCAACCCCTCATCCCTCTATTTCCTCTTATGCTGGGTATCTTCCACCACCTCCTGTCATTTTTTCTTTTCTCCCGTGCGTCGTGGCAAGAGATAGTGCTAAGCACGCACTCGAGACAACTGCAGGATTTCATATCAAACACACAGTGGTAGGAGTCTAGGAGAGACAGAGATAGAAACCCAAGCACAGGGTTATTTAGTATTTACTCAAAAATTAAGTATGAAGCACAAGTATTCTGGTGAAACACCCTACACCGCATTTCATCCCGTCGCCAGTCCGGAATCGTCAGGTGTCGCTGGGTGCGGCATAGTACATCATTGCGCTGTACTTCTTTCTGACGAAGGGGATCATCTCGCTGTACTACTTTCTGACGAAGGTGAAGCTGTGCTGCACCTTTTTGTTTGGAAATGCCCTTGCGCCTGGCCTCTTTTGCACAGCCTAGGCTGTTAGCCATGGGCCCGCCTGGCACCCTGAAATTGCCATGGCCAGGGGTCCCCTTGGTACCCTGAAAGCTATCCGTGCATTTGAACCTATCTGCAAGTCTTGTCCTATATGCGTGCACTGTCCTGAGCCCGGACAGAAATGCAGTGGTGATTTAACTGTGGTTAGTGCACTGGTTACTTATCTGAGGTTTCCTTTTTAGGTTAGATCGTACACACTGGTTCCTGTTGTGGTGTTTCCTAATCAGGTAAGGTTGTGCACTGCTTCGTGATGTCGTGCTCCCCTGGTGCCGAAAATGGTAAACTTGTTTTTCCTATTTAGGTGAGACGGTACTCTGGTGGCTAGTGTGATGTTTTCTGGTTAGGTAAGGTTTTGAATTTGACTGTGGTTAATTCTGTGGTTGTGGAATGATGCAGACTGCTCTCAGATGGACTTCATCTTGCTGGCATCTCTCGATTTCGACATTTGCTTGTCTGCAGCGTCCTCGTTGCCGCGTCCTGGGCGGCGTTGTTCTGCGTTCCATTCCTGAGTGCCTCTACTATTGGCTTAACCGTGGTGCTCTTTGCTGGAAACATCGCATCTTCATGTGTGGATGTCATTACCGATGCCATTTTAGTCCAGGCCAGCAAAAGTGAAGGGTGGGTGAATGCCAACGTTTGTACTCCCTTAATAATACTCTTATACTCTATCGGTGTGCCAGTGTATTATATTTGCTTTGTGTGGGTGCTTGTTCATGTTTGCATGTGTGTGTGTGTTGTGAAAACACCCCAACTTCTCTCTCTCATTTCCTCCACAAGTCGTAACAAACCATCCATAACGAATCCGCCTGTGTGTGTGTGTGTGTGTGTGTGTGTGTGTGTGTGTGTGTGTGTGTGTGTGTGTGTGCGTTGTGTGTGTGTGTGTGGTGTGTGTGTGTGTGTGTGCGTTGTGTGTGTGTGTGTGTGTGTGTGTGTGTGTATGTTGTGTGTGTGTGTGTGTGCATGCACGCTTTTGTAAGAAGGCAACTCATTGCTGGAAAATTGGCCATGCTATTGTATAGGTGCACTGATGGTGGCACCATGATCTCCGTCAATCGCAGAAGTGGAGAGTTCAGATCCTGAACAAGTTCGGGATGTTATGATTTAAGCTCGTATGTGATGTTAAAATTTGACACATCTTGTGATTAATTAATAATTATATGATGATGATATGCAGTGGCGGCGATTAGTCGCCGATTACCAGAGTAGGCGCTCCGTCTGAAAAAAAAAAAAAAAAAACAGGAAGCAGCAGGGAAATTTTTAATTTTCCTAATGACAGATGTGATGTGGATGCGTGTTGTCAACTACCACCAAGTGGCATGTTGTTCCATGAACTCTTTTTTTTTTTTTTTCTCCAAAAAAAGACAGATCCTTATGGATCTGCAGGATCGTTTTTCTCAAGCTCAGTGTCTGATCGACTCTGATGGAATTTTGTAACTATGAATGCTGTCATCCTCATGACGATCACGGTCTGACGAGGACGCAATGAGTGTGATCGTGGTAAGCTCTGCCTGTGATGGAAAAACGTTATCGCAAATTTGCGGCGAGTAGTGAAAATGCAAGTGTGTGTGTGTGTGTGTGTGTGTTGAAAAAAAAAAAAAAAAAAAAAAGTACTTTTTTTACCATAAATAAGTTTTGAGTGCTATTAGGTTGCGAAGTACCATGAAATTTGGGATTTTTTTTTGCTTAAAATTGAAATTTCAAATTAGTGAGATAAGTTCAGATAACGTAACACTGAGATTAGATGAACGTATTGCAGAATGCTACGGACGGTATGATGGTGTTGATTGATCACAATTGAAACGTGGCGTGCATGATGACATTGGTGAGTGTTTAACGGAACCGTTAACGATTGTGAGCATCTCGTCTGTGCTAAAAAAAAGCAGATGATCATGTTGATTGCCCTGTGGCAATGATCCGCGCATGACTGTGTTCCGGAAGACGACCCTCGTAAGCATCACCATAGTCAGTGATGAGGTGTTGTGATGGTGATGCATGTGTCATCTGTATTGTCTCGTACTCAATGATAGTCATGGATCTTGCTGAGATGGTGTCAAACGTGCTGATCGAGCAGATGATCATAATGATGGTGGTTGTCGCGCTGCAATGATACATGGACGACTGGGATGTCCAAGAGCTCGTAAGTACAGCCAATGATTACGATCGTCAAACGGCGAGTCGTCTGCGTAGGAAGACTGAAAATGTTAGATTCTTGACTTTAGTGAGAAGGCAGCTGAAAAAGAGAAAAAAAAAAAAAAGAAGAAAGAAAGAAAGAAAGGAGCGGGGGATGGTGTGCCTTGCGATGAGGAGAGGTGGGCAATCTATCTGTATTTGCTTTGCACTCTAGGCTCCAGCTATTCGTTAGTGATGAGGGATATCGACCTTAACCAATCGTTTGGTTTTGCTTTCGGTTCTTTCGTAGGACATGACTGGGTGTCAACTAGTAAACAGCTGCTGTTATCAGAGTCTAAGTCCTCTTTGCAGTTGAGGGTTAGAGAGACTGGTGATGTTGGAGGCTCACCACACATCCGATGAGATATTCGGTGTGAAGTACGTGTGTTCTAGTCGGTCGATTTGATGGATCAAAAACCCAAAATGCATGTACTACCTACCGTTTTCACCTGAATAGAATGCCTAGTCATTATCGTTATTATTTTTTCTTGCTGCATCTGGACCAGAAGTCGACCCAAGTACAGCCAGCTATGTTCACCAGGCATTCTATTCCCGCTTGACGACGGTACTCACCTTTCGATCAGGTGTCGACATCGTTTCGGGCAATGGGGAACAAAGCTGTGTGTGTGTGGTCATACCTGACCTGTTCTGTGGGTGTGGGGGTTTGTGTTCATTGGTAGGGAAAGTTGGGAACCCTCTGTCAGCAGCGTGAAGTCTCTGACATGGCTGTCAGTGGCAGCAGGCGGTGTTATGAATCGACAGTTTGGCACTGCTCACCCCCTTTTGGAAGATGCACATAGGGAAGAAGAGTTCTGTGTGTGGCATTACCTCTGTCTGATCTTCTCTGTGGGTGTGTGGGTGTGTGGATGTGTGTGTTTGGGGCTTTGTGTGTTCGATTGCAGACAAAAGTCTGCTGGTAATCTGCAGTCGTTGGCATGGCTGTCCGGGGCAGCGGGTGGTGTCATAGGAGCACTAGTGAGTGGTCCGGCTCATGAAGCACTGAAGCCTGTAGGGATGTTTGGCGCCTTTGCGGTTCTGCCTATTGCGCAAATTGGTTTGTGCACGCTTCTTGAAGATCACAATCGGCAGGATGCCAGATCAAAGGTTGATGAGCAGCAGACGATAAGGATGTCAAAGGGCATTATACCATCTGATTCTTCTCACGGCGTGAATGAGCAGTCTCGGACACCCGCGAGGCATGATGAAGAGGAAAAGGGGAGGGGTATGGCAGAGACAGAAGGAACTTGTCTCACGGACATACGGGGCAGCAAATTACAAGTCCCTGGTGAAGACGAACAGGCGGTCAGGGACGACTGTGCCACACGCGAAGATCCTGATAGCATGAGCGGATCACAGGAGCGGGATCCTGAAGCGGTGTACCCTGTTCAACTTCTCGCTGAACAGGGGCATGGCGGCAATTTGACAGAAAGACAGAGTGGGGCAGAGGGATCAGAAGAGTATGCTGCACCAGAAAGCATCAGCCAAGTACCCGGTGATGACGAGTCGATGAGTTGTAGAGATTCCATTAGAGGGGATCGATTTCTTCAGGAGACGAGAGGAAATGATCCTGTCGCTGCCACTGAGGCGTCAGGTCTTCCATCCTCCCTCGAACACAAGTTGGAAGACGAGAAACAATGTTCTCCTGACTGCGAAGGGACAACAAGTGATATGATTGGTGTGCAGAGGAGAGGGGAGAGGATAGGACGTTGCGCTCCCCATCATCACGCACAAAGCAACGAAGGAGTACATCATGCTATGACTCTTCCTGCTGATGTCAGGAGTGGGGAGGCGATGGCTGTGCTCGACGAAAGTAGCAGCAAGGAAAGGGAACACACAGATTATAGATCAGTAGAAGGAGCTCCGGCGTCTGTATTTGAGGAGGCTGGGGAAGAGGTGTTCCAACCACAAGCTAGTAGTATTGTCTCTGATTCTGAGGGCCCTCAGATGGACAAAGAGGTGTTCGAACCACAAGTTAGAAATACTGGTGCTGGTTCTGAGGGCCCTCCGATGGACAAGGGTCGTCAGGGAGGGTCTGCCGGCCTTGATGACGAATGTAGAAGTAAGGAAGGGGAACAGATGGACAGCAGATCATCATCATCATCATCAGGAGCTCTGGTGCAGGAAGAGGTGTTCGAAGGACGAGTTGGTAGTTCTGCCTCTGATTTTGAGGGGCCTCAGCCATACAAGGTTTGTCAGGGAGAGTCTGTACGACCCACCGCTGGCCTCGATGGAGGCCATCCGGATGCGTGTCATGAAAGCCCATGTTCAGACCATCCGGCCCTTCCAGGGGATCTCGATGATTGGGAGGTGGTTGAGAAGGGGGAGAGTGAGTTGGAGACGCCAGACTATGTACAGACGTCAAGTGTGCCTGCCACAACTGCCCCGTTGTCGAATGTGCATTCTCCCATTCTTGAGAGATTGAGAGAGAGGGCTGTAGGAGGATTGGAGGATAACGACGCTCTTCGAAAAGATGCAAAGCTAGTGATGGAAGTGGGATTCGATGCCCCGGCTGCATCAGGCCACAAGGACAGTCTTTCGAGCGATCCTGCCACAGAGGATGTGCATGGTGATGTCAACAGAATGAACACGGAAAGCACTGCAGATATAGATCGTGGAGTTGAGTCCACGCCGCAGCCTGAAGAAATGGAGATGTCAGATGTGGCTGAGAGCTCGTTGCACAGAGGTGAAGCAGAAGCGATTGGCCATTGTGTCACAGGGACTGTAGGGGTTGAGATAGACTCCACCAGTGTACAGACAGACTTAGTAACAGGGTCGGCAATCGCAGTTGGGTTGGGACATGAGACAGAAGAGGAGGTGCACAAGGGCCTGCAAACAGCACCCGATCAACATTGTGCGTCGATGAGAGATGCTGCATCAGAGACGATGGCGGCGGATGAGACTCGCACGCCTGCTATGGAAGGAGTAAGGTATGATGGTAGAAGCGAAGGAATGGCGAAGGAGGAAGTTTCTGAAAGCGGCGCGGAAAAGCATCACGAAAAGCGGGAGCAAGGAGACGGTCTCCGTCAAGACGGAGAAATGACAGGTCCCAACGAAGAGAGCCGAGGAGAGGGGGGTTTAATGAGAGGTACCGAAAGCAGATGGGCAGTTGATGATGTGGAAGGAAGAGATGGTGCGCTTGAAGCGAAGGATGTTGGCACCGTGGACAGCGAGGAAAGCAGTCGGAAGGTGGGAGGGTCGAGCTCTCTGAATGCCGCAGCGGTCGACAGGGTTGCGGGTGCGAAAGGGGACTCCGAGGTGAAAAGTGTCTCCTGGGGAAGCGGAGAAAAGCAAAGGGTGAGGGAAGGCGGGCTTGAGGTTTCGGGTGATGGAATAAGGCAGAGGGTGACGGCAAGGCAGGTTTCATCAGAGGAGGAGATTGATGTACAGAAGGTTGGGCAGAGGGAAAGAGGGAGTGATGCACTGTTGGAAGTTGGAGAGAAGATGAAACGTCGCAATATACAAGCTGAATTGCTGAGGAAGCTTTGCCTACTGTGGGAGACACTGAAGAACCCAACCATCCATAGGTATGAAATTACTATGAAATGCTCTGTTAAATTCTGTTTTCTCTCTCTTTCTTTTCTGTCTGGCGTAGCCCTGACATCTTCGCATCCATTTGATGATTTTGATCCCATCACCATTTGTTGACCCTTCCATGATCTGTTTGCTAACAGTTACATGTAAGCGCAGATCTGTTTGTGCCTACCTACATGTGCGAACTGTCCATCCATCTGCGGTTGGTAGTATGAAATCCTACGAGCTACTTGAAGAAGTTGAAGGCAATTTTGGACCATTTTTTTCCCGGATTTTTGTGTCGCATCCTACTTTTGTTTTCTTGTCCTTGCAGATTTTTTTCAGATTCCCTTTTTTCCCTTTCTTTGGAAGAGCAATCAATGAATTCAATCCCACCGGGCCATCGTCAATTTTCAATTCCCATTAGCTAAGGGTTCAGTCTAGATAAGAGCCGGGATGGTTGGATTTGGCCGCCGGTGTAGTATTAGTTACTGGAAGTTTTTGGGGAAAACCTATGTGGGGAACGTTTTGGGTTTGGGATGCTCGAAACACTTCCATATTTATTTAATACTGCTATTTATCTATTTAGGTGCACTACGTTTTCTATTCTTTTCTGCAGATGTAGCTTCTCTTTTTGTTTGTATAGGTCTCATAAATATACCAATAATCTAGGCTGGTCCCCGGGCCGCCCGGCGGCCTGGTCGTCGCCGGGGGGGGGGGCCGGGCCGCCTGGGCGGTTGTCATGCCTGGTTGGCCACCAGGCGCCCCCAGCGCATCAGTGTAGGTTAATTTTTTTATTTTTTTTTCGGCGCTGGGGGCCTTTTCGTCCTCATGGCAGACCATGCAGACCACGAAAAAAAAAAAAGGGGCCCGGCAGGCCCGATTTCACAGATTTGAAATCGGGCCCGATCTGGATCGTCGATCTCAAAAATCGACAGCCCAGATGGCCGAGATTTCAAATCCGTGAGGGCGGGAACTACCGGCCCCCGTTCCCTCCCCCATTCTCACGGTGTACCCCCTACCCGTCTTCCCCCGAACATAACGCACCCTAAAAATGAATGTATACGAGTTATATTTCCAGCCCGATACAGCCAAAATGAGGGTGCGTTGTGTTCGGGGGAAGACGGGTCCCCCTGTTCCCTGCCCTGCAGTTGTCGCTCCGCTGGACTTCGACACGGAACTCCGACGCCGCCAGCATCTGCCATTGCCCGCCACCGCGCGTGACCCCGCCGACCCCGCCGTCGCCTGCCAATGCCCCCCATCGCGGTTCCCCGCCATCGACAAGGTAAGGGACTTAGTGGGGAGAGAGAGAGAGAGAGAGAGAGAGAGAGAGAGAGAGAGATCTTCTTCTTCTTCTTCTTCTTCTTCTTCTTCTTCTTCTGAGTATGACGGGAGGACAGACGGTGGGGCCGCAAGGCAGGGTTAAGTGGTTAGCCCCCTGAGAATGATCGGAGCATAACCAATCGAAACGCGTAGGGGATTGTGCACGTAAGCTGAGATGAGTATGCGCGATATTGCAAGGAAGAGCTTTCGATGCGTGTACGAACGGCAGTTGGCCACTGTTTACCACTACACTATTCTTCTTCTTCTTCTTTGTTGTCGCTTCTTCTTTCCTCCTCTTCTTCTTCACTTTTTCTTCTTCTTCTTCTTCTTCTTCTTCTTCTTCTTCTTCTTCTTTGCTTCTTCTTCTTCTTCTTCTTCTTCTTCTTCTTCTTCTTCTTCTTCTTCTTCTTCTTCTCTTCTTCTTCTTCTTCTTCTTCTTCTTCTTCTTCTTCTAATTCTTTGCTTCTTCTTCTTCTTCTTCTTCTTCTTCTTCTTCTAATTCTTTGCTTCTTCTTCTTCTTCGCACTCGTTTCGAGCCCCATTCCCCTCCCTCCCTAATCGTCAGGATCGCGCCCAATCGCTGGTCCCCCCCACGTGGCCCCGTCACGCCCCTTGTGCTCCTTGCTCCCCGATTCTTTCCCCCCTGCTTTCCACACACGCTCACCATCCCCATCACCCACCGGCGCCCTCCCAACTTCATTCTCCCCTCCCCCATCGTCTTGCTTCCCGCTACCTTCCCACTCCCCCACCTGGCGCACACGTACGCCTGTCTCTTATACACATCTAGATGTGTATAAGAGACAGGCCTTCCAAGGGGCGGGGGATGGGGAACGG